GCCGGCTGTCCAGGAGGAGGGCAAGGCAGCACTTGGACATTGTGCTCAAGAGTCTTTAAAGAGCATTCCAACTGGCTCCTTGATAAGCACTCCCCCGTTGTCGCGCACCTGCAGCGAAACCACTTCCTGAAGTACAGAAACCGAGACTTTGCACAAACACGCCAACCTTCCAGCAAAGGGGCAGAAGGAGCTGCAGGTGCCCCGCAGGGGCAGCCTGGGGCGGGAAGGCCAGCTGGACCCCGGGAGCATGCCCACTCCCTCCAGCACTCGTGCAGAGCTACCTACCAGCTTCCACAACACTCCCCGGGCCCAGGCTTTCCTTTCTTTCGATCCAGAAGTCCAGAAAGTGGGAGAGAAGCGTGAGGGAGGACCAGCGTGTCCTCCCCTGGTCCCCTCCCGCCGGCGGCTCCGCGATTCTGAAGCCAGTTCCCTAAGACCCAAGGTGTAACTGGGTTTCACAAGCCGGGCCTCCCACGGCTCTGACGTGACATCGGCAGCTCTGCCCGGGACACTCCCCGGCCTGCAGTCCCCTCCCTCCTCCCACAGGGTGGACGGCAGGCGGAGTGCTCGCTGCAGATTCTCCCAGAAGAACAGACTTTCCTAAATCTGGGCACCTTGGACTCCGAGGACGCCGGCGCCGGGGAAGCGCGTTGCTTTGGATCGGGTGGGAAGTGGACGGGGAGGCCTCCGGGCAGCTTCGGCCGGCCGTCGCTCACCGGGGCAGGAACAGGTTGGACAGGAAGGGGCAGAGCGGCCCAGCTGTGTTTTCCTCGGCCTCCATTCCCACACACAGGAAAGCCAGGGCTGCACTTGAAACCCGATCTCGGGAAGCCGCTGCCTCCCCCCTCTTATCGCTTACAAAAGGGAAAGGCTGGCGGCTTTGCCCTCCCTCCGCCCAGCCCGCCTGAGGGGCCAGGGGTGAGGGGCCGGGCTTAGAGAGATGAAATAATTAGCCGGCAGCCGGGTCTGCAGAGGAAGCAGCGGGAGGAGACCGCCAGGCACCTCCCCAGCGGGAACCTTTAAAGTTTATGCAGTGTGACTTCAGATGGGTGCCCGGTTCCTGCAGTGGCACCAGAGGACCGGAAGGACCCAGACCAAATTGCTAGCAGTGGCTGCCTCCGGGCAGGAGGGTAGGGCCACCTCTATCTCATCATCTCTAGTCCTTGTCTTTTGTTAATAAAGATAAGAGGGAGGGAAAGTGGTATCTCTGATGGTCTCTGATTGTCCACTTGAGCGGTTCTGGCAGGTCCTGGGGTCTTCTTGGCCTTCCTGTGTACTTATTTCTCCAAATTCAAACGATGGACGTCATGCCGGACGAACGTGAGTATATCGCACAGGAGTGAGCCCGGCTCCCGGACCACGGGGAGTCCCCTGGGACTTGACCACCGTGATTCTGACCAACCTTTGCCGTAGCCGCGCTCTTTAATCTCTCTGGGCTGCTGCCTAGACGCTGGTTCTGTCTGTTTTTCCTCTGAAATGTCTTGGTTCCTAAATATCTGAGGCCACCATCCAACCCGGGCAGGGGAGGGGGAGACGGAGCGTGGACTTCCGCAGCCTGTGGGACACTCCTTTCCCATCCACCGGTATTTTCTGAGCCCCCTCTGATGTGAGGTCCCGATCGATCCGGGAGCCTGTTGGAGAAGAGTCCCTTCCCTGGTGAGGAGGACCCTGCAGGTGGCCCAGGTGACCTCTGGCTCCACTACTTGTAGTTAGTGACGCTCAACTGTCCGGAGCCTCAGCTTCCTCATCTGTGTAATGGAGCCGGTGACACCCGAGACCCGGGAGCCAGCACCTGCTCAGCACCCACAGCGGGCAGCTGGGCTGGTGGGGTGTTGACAGTGACTCTCGGTCCTGGCTCTCTCCCCTTATCAGACCACCACGGTGGCCGGCGTAGGGGCAGAAGTGGAACCGGCAGCAGCTATCTGGCCCCCACATCTGTGTCTCCACCAGGAACAGCCTAGTGGCTCTGTTGACAGAGCTGTGTCACTCAGGCCGCGACCCTGGCGGGTTTCATGGGAGGCTTCCTGATCCACCCGGGAGGTAGGAAATCTGTGCCAGGGCAGAGGGACAAGCCCCAGGCAGGGGGTCACAGAGGCCCTGGAGAACCGAGCTGACTCTTTCATGCCCTGAGCAGGGACAGGGAAGGTGTCACAGAGGCCGGGCTTCTGAATGGCGGCCAACATTCCAGGTTAATCATTTACCTGCAAATTCACCTGGAAATGGAGATTTGGGACGGTGGCACAGAGCAGCGACAGTACATCAAACAATGAGTCACACACACGGGGCAAACCCCGGCTATGACCTGAAGCAAAACAAAGTCATGGAAAAGAGTGCCCCCCGAGGACCTTCTCAGTGCGACAAAGGAGGACTCTGGCAGGACTCTGGCTGTCACAGCCCCGGGGACCTAGCTTCCTTCCAACCCTCTGCCCTGTCCATCGGATGTGATGATGACCGTCCAGGCCTCCGCCCTCCAGGAGGGTACAGGGTGGCGGGCTCAGCAGGGAGTCAGACACGCAGGGCTCACACCCGTGGTGCGTCTGACATGCACCTAGTGTGCAGGGGCCACCACCACCCTGACCCCCGCCTCATCCCGTCCAGGGCCCCCGCTGCATGCCGACGAGAGGTTCTGGGCCATAGGAAATGTGCAGCCTAAGATCTGACTCCCGAAAGGAAGCTTCTCACCCACGTTTCCTCTGCGGCCAAATCTCCCACTTCCAGGACGGCTGACCACTTCCTGTGGCCCCCTGCAGGGCAGCGGGCGCTCCCTGCAGGTGTGAGCTGCTGGGGTTAGGGCTGGTGGCTGCCATGGTGCTCCCAGCCCACGCCTTGCTGTGCAGCCTGTTTATTAAGTATCTTCAGTGAGATCTCTGTTTCGGATGTATTCTTTCTTCCCAGATGAACTGCCAGGTCCTTGACCCCAAGGGCTGACTTTTTTGTTAGATGAGATAAGGAAAGGAAAGTGCTAGGGGAGGGGCCGTGGAAAAGCCACGGGCTTCGTCAATGCTTTTCTTGGGAAAACACAAAATCGAGTCTCTTAAGCTCTATTGTTAGAAAGCGGTTTGTACTAGTAGATGAACTGGCTATCTTTAGCTGATCACAGGAAACCCTGCTGTCAAACCACACCAAGTCCCCAAACACTGGGGCATGACGCAACCCCAGGGGCTTGGGAGGCTGAAGCAGGAGGATCTAGAGTTAGAGGCCAAACTCTACTTATCGAGACCTTGTCTTGAAATAAAAAAATAAAAAGAGTTGGGGGGGTGTGGCTCAGTGGTGGAGCACCCTGGGTCCAATCCCTAGTATCAAAACCAAACCAAACCCCTCCTGGATCTCAGCAGGAGGACCCAGGAGACAAGCCCACACTGAGGGACAGCCTCTTGCCCCTGGAGCTCCAGCAGGGCGTTGTCCCTCCGGTCTTAGCTCACATGCACCTTTCTCACAGGTCCTTCCCTGGACACTCCAATGGAGGGGGATCTCCTGAGCGAAAGCCCCCCCGGACCACAGGGTCCTCCCACGGCTCTGTGAGGCCGACAGTCAAGGGAACTCTTTGACTTTGACAGATGGGAAAATGGAGGCCCAGAGAGACCGAGGGGCGGCCCGGGTCAGCCAGGTGGCCAGCAGGAGTGCAGAACAGGTTCTCTCTTCAGATCCATCCAGGGCTGCAGTTCTCCTCCCACGGACTGCGCAGGGCTGAACCCTCACATTGATTATCGGGGTGGCTCAAGCTTAATTATGCACCCGCAAACAGGACGGACTGGTCTCCCGGTGGCATTTTGTAATCCATTCTTTTTTTTTCCCTCCTGCATCGTATTTTATTGTGCTCTGATGTGGGAGGTGTGAAGAGGCTTCTGGTGGAGGCCCGTGGTCGTCCGTCGGTGGTGGAAGGAGCCAGGAGAGGGTCAGACGGATGGTCTAGGTGGTAGGTCAAGGTGGCGCTGCTTGAAAGACGAGGCACGCCCCTGCCTTTCAGTAACAGGAGCCCCGTCCCTCCAAGCCACGGGAACAGGGAGGCCTTTGTGCGCGCTCCTGAACTCACCTGGCTCCGGGCGGCAGGGAATTCCAGCAGTTTATAAAAAAGATCAGTTTATTGAAGGCCAAGAACCTTTCCCACCGCCAAGGCCCTGGGCGCTGGGCTCCTGCCAGCCGTACGTACTTCGCCTGTTACCAGGCCAGGGGACGTTGATCTGGAAGGACATGCACGCCAGCGTGGTCGGCCCGGGGCACTGCTACAGCACCTCATTCCCCTGCCCGTCTCCGACAGGCTCTGGTGGGCCCCGGTGACCGCTTGCCACAGGGGTAGAAGTCCGTCCTGGTTCTCAGCCACGACCTGCCGTCGGTCTGCTGCTTGGGGGAAGATGAGACATTCTTCCCTGAACCCCAAATAAATAATGAACACCCACAAGGAACACGAACTCGCACCTGTCCCAACCCGAGTTCTAGTGTATCTCCACCTCCTACGAGAGTTCGCGGTGCTCATTTCACGCACAAAGAGAGGATTAGAAAGTGAACTGTGTCTGATCTGGATCTTTGACTGCCCAGGAAGGCTCGTGGGCCCTGCTGGAGGGTCTTGGATGGGCCCTTTTCAGACCAGGCCCTGCCCTCCCTGTCTCTGTTCTTGGACCAGCTCCTGATTTAAGCCACTGTCCTAACAGGGCAGCATGTGGCTCAAGAGGCTGAGCCTCTGGGCCTCCCACCATAGTGTGCCAATCTGACCTTGATTTCTGCCCAGCCACTGGCTGCCCGCCGGCGGGGCCAACAGCTGAGGCCCGGTCCTTCCTTTCTGTCCGCGCTCACAGCCCTGCATGCATTCCGGCCTTGTGCAAACTGGGCTGGGAGAGGGACCTGCAGAACCTGCTCCGTCCTGCCGAACCCTGAGCTGTTTGGGCACAGAAAACCCTAAGTGCACAGAGCCAAGACCCAGAGTCGGGTTTTCACAGGAGAAGAAAGGAGGAAGGTGGAGGGACAGCTTCTGAAACCCGGGAAAAGACAAGCCGCCTGGCGCAGGGCCCTCCCTGAACTGAGTGACCCACGTGGACAACGGCAAATGGAAAGGGGAAGTGACCTCCGACCCTGGCCTGGGCGGGACTGAACGGCCAACCTGACCAGGTGGTGCCCAGCGCTCTCCACGCTGCTCCGAAGGTGGAGAGCGTCCTGTGAGTCACAGGCACGGGAGTGGACGGCCCGAGAGACACTGGGCAGACTCTGCTCCATGACCCCCGGGGAGAGCCTGACCGCTGTTGGGGACGCACTACCGCGTTGGGTGGGGATATGGTATTGTCCGGGCACGGTGGCTGAGAAATCATTTAGGAGTTAAGTCACCGTGGATACTCAAGATCAGAAAACCCCACAAGACCTCCGAAGGGTCCGTCGTAAAGCACGATTCAGGATAAAATTAAATTAGCCAAAAAAAAAAGGAGTTAACATGGCGAGTCGTGCCCAAAGAAAACCCGACAGGCAGTAATTTGTGAATCCGCGACACTGACCACTGGCCTTGGCTGGGCTGATCAGGCTCTGCATGCCCTCCTGCCGCCCACCCCAGGGTGCACACCGTGCTGCTCACCCAAAGGGGAGTGGTCTCATAAATCATCTATGTCCCCGTAAGGGAACACCAGGTGGCCTTCCAGAGACCAAGTGGTTTGCAAGGAGCTGGGGAAGGCGGCCAGGCCTGGAGGAGGGGCAGCGGGATTTCTCTCTTGGTAAAGACTCGGAGTATTCACCAACCAGGTCTGAGGGAAGCCGTGTCGTGTTCTCAGCAGCCATTTCCACGGAGCAGGAGGGAGACTGCAGAGAGGCTTCCTGCCCCAGCAGACGGGCTTGGTGCTGTTTGCTACTTTTTAAAAAAACAGTAAAGACGTACGACTTGTTGTAAACAGGCAATGATCAATGAGAGGGACATGGGAATATCTGAGAAAACTGGGTGCCTTCATTTCTTTTCCTTTTTTGCTACCAGGAATGGAACTCAGGGGTGCTTAACCCCTGAGCCCCCTCCCCAGCCCTAGTTTGTATTTATTTAGAGACAGGGTCTCGCTGAGTTGCTTAGTGCCTCACTGCGTTGCTGCTGAGGCTGGCTTTGAACTCGCCATCCTCCTGCCGCAGCCTCCCGAGCCGCTGGGGTGACAGGAAGTGGCTTCTGGAGGGTGGGTGCCCTTCATTTCTAAGCCTATTACTTAGGCATTTGGAACTAGAAGTAAATCTTCAAACGCAGACAGGGACGATGTCACGCGACGTCCCCTGGAAACTACGAGCTCATTCCTTACGTCAAACAGATGGCGCTCACGGGGCTGCGGACACAGTGCCGAGGGCACGGCGGCCTGCGGCTGTCCCCCGTCCCTGACGCGGGTGGGGTGGCTGGGGAATGAGGCCGTCTTGCTTTCCTGGGTAACTTCTGGTGAGCGGCCTCCATGGCCAGATGCTCTGGTCCAGGAAGGCTGGACGGCATGGGAAGGGCCGTGGCAGCCTCAGGACACTCTTCTGTGCAATCCATGTGAGTGTCACAACATAAGTGGGGACAAGGCAGGAGCTCGATTTGCATAACACGAGGAGACGGTGACCATGGGCCGTGGCCACTTGGGAGCTGCAGGGCTGGGCCCGATTACAGGGCTGCTTGAGGGACACTCCCGCGAGACACAGACAGGTGTGACGGGAGTCACCCGAGGCCGCGATGTCGGGTGGCGATAACAGGTAGGGTGACCACGGTCTGTTATTAGATGTCACCGTGTCACGCCTGCAGCCTCCAGGGACGGCAGCAGGGCCCAGGGAGGTCAGCCGGATGGGTCTTAGAAGGCCAAGGGCGGCTGAAGGATGAACCTCGCGGACTCGTCCACCCTTACACAGGCCAGAGTGGACGGCAGGCGTCTGCTCCAGGCAAGAGAAGCAGCTGCTCCCTAAAGCCTGACATGGAACACAGCGTCACCGACTCGGCCTCGGAAGCCCCAGAGCCGGCCGGCGAGGAGCCTAAGAAACCGCCCGCGACCTACGTTCCTTTACAAAAAGCAAAAGTGTTTCCTGCAGAGAACCCTGAAGTGAGGGTCAGTTAGAAACAGCGGCACCTTAGGAAGAGGATCACGCGTAACTGTAGCAGTGGGAAACAGCGATAACCCAGGAGTTTGGCTTCCGTCTTCATAATCCTGGGATAATCCAATGCAGATACGTGTGCGTGCAGGTGTGTGTACACTTACACACACACACGGTGACACAGGGCGGCCTCCTGCTCACACCAACCCCAGCAGAAGCCTTATTACGGCTGCCGTGGACTGAGCCGTGGCCCACATCCTCACCACTCAATCACGGCGCACAGCTTGGAGTGGGTGACCGGCGTGTGATGGTGTGTGATGGCGTAAAGGGTGCGTCAGCGAGTTACAAAACGAATCTCACACTTAGCTTCAGCCTCCTGCCAACCAAGGTCTCACTCAGCGGTCAGGCTGGCTACGCGGAATCCTGGCCTGAGACGCTGCAGGTGCCCCCGCGGGGACACTGCCGGCTCAAGGGCTCCAGGTCCCCCGTAGGCGCCCGGGGGACCCACACTCACCTTCCGCGGCTTCACCTTGTCCTGTAAGTCATACTGGCCGATGCCCTTGTAGCTGATGCCAAGCCACCAAGGAAGTCCCTGTTTATCCTGGGGACGGAGGAGAAGAGGCCTCATTAGGTGGGGAGAGGCGGGCCACCCTCTCCCGCCCGCCCTCAGCGAGTGTCCACGCGTCACAACAGCCCCCTGCGGGGAACGCGTTACCCAGACGCCCTGAGGGTCTCTCCAGCGAGACATGTACCTCAGAGAGGCCCCGAGTGAGCTGTCAATACACAGTGACCTCCTGTCCGAGGGCCGGACAGCAGATGGGAGGTGAGGCCACTCCACCGAGAGCGGGTCCCCTGCTCGGCCCATGAACTAGAACAAGAGGCCTCTGTTCTCGGCGAGCGGGCAGCTGTGAGGGCCGGCAGCCCGCAGACCACAGGCACGAGGCTGCGGACCCGGCGTTTGGGACATGGCGAACGGGGAGTGTCCACACACCCTCACGTGCAGCAACACAGGGAGGAGGGGACACGTGCTTTGTTCACAAACGGGTGCTCTCGTTGCCTCAGAGGGACAGGCGTGCGGACACAGGGACAGACGCCCAGGCTCCCTCGCGCTGTGCCAGCGGCTCAGGCTCAGCAGAACTGGAGGCAGAGGCTGGCTCTCAGCTAGGTGTGCAAGTGTCCGTCACCTAGTTCCCAACACCTTGAGGGGCACAGGTGACAACGTGTCCCGGCACCAAGTCACTCCAAGCCTGTCCCTGGGGTGGGGTGTACTGGGGGAGCACTCGCCCAGTGGCCCGAGGCCCTGGGTTCCAGAACCACAGAATACACCCCAATAATCAACGGGAGACTCCTCGTTCTGCCCAGCCCCCCTTCTTGGACACCCTCTGGCCCTTATCATCTTGATTTTCACTTCGTTTATCTTTCCTTGGTGCTGGGAGGGGAGGCCCCGGGCTCCCGCCCACCAGGCAGGCACTGTACCACCGAGCCACCCCCACCCCAGCACTTTTAATTTTTATTCTGAGGCTTGGTATCACTCAGTGGTCAGGCCGGCTTCAAACCTGCCATCCCCCTGCCTCAGCCTCTCCTGCACCTGGGATTAATAGTCTGTGTCACCATGCCCGGCCTTAAAAACATTTCTTATTCCACCCCTCCCTGCTTACAGACATTGAAAATACTGTATAAATACAAAACACGCTGATGGTATGCCCAAAATGGCCCCGGCTTCAATCCCCAAAATGAGAGAGGGAGGGAAAGAGAGAGAACAGGAAGACCTGAAGATTTTCCGACTAAAAGAGGCCACGGGGAAGCATCTGGATGTGGCAAATATCTTGCAAATAATGTGCTTTGTAAAGATGACAAGATAGAATCAGGCTTTGGAACGTTAAGGAAATCCATCCTGCGGTACAGAGACACAAGGGAATATTACTCAGCTATAAAGAAGAACGAAATTGTGGCATGTGTCAGTGAATGGATGGACCTGGAGACTGTCCTGCTAAGTGCAATAAGCCAGTCCCCCCAAAACCACAGGCTGAATGTTCTCTGTGCTATGTGGATGCTGACGGGAAGGGATAGGGACGGGAATAGGAAAGACTGTGGCCTGATCCGACGTGGCTTCCCTAGGTCCATGTATGAACACACACCCGGTGGGACTCCACGTCATGGAGCACCCCGAGAACGGGAAGTCAGACTCCATGCACTCTAGTGTCACCTCTAACTGAAAAGGACAAATAAAAAAATCTTAAAAAAAAAAAAAAGAGGATCCACCCTACTGAAAGGCTGTGATTCCCAGAGACCGATTCACAAAGACGCACGCCGTACGCGGTTTTGGAAGGAGGATGTCATTCTGTGACTCATAGATACCCCAGGCGCCCTGAAGGCCTTCTCCCGGGGGAAGAGCTCACCTTTACCGCGTAGTAATGGACGCCGTAGGTGGGCAGGGCCTCCACGATCTTCATGTACCTGTGGAAGATGAACCCACGTCACAAAACAGTCCCTGAGACCGTCACCCGGCCCCGCGGGGACAAGCGATTTCAGAGACACGTTCGTGGGTCTTGGCGTTCGCCATTGTAACCGCGACCAGGGTCTTCCGCTGCGGTAGAGGCACATCAGACCATCAGAGGGGGACACAGCTCACCCCTTACCCACGGTTCCAGAGCGTCTCACGGAACTGCAGAGCCACGCGAGCCGGTGTTTCACGGACTTTGAGACTCAGAAAGGCTGCACTGCAGACTCAAAGGGCAAGTCTGCTTTAGGGTAAGGACCCGATGATTCAGGCAATGGGAGCCCACTTTGGGTCCCGCTGACGAGAAGTCCAGCAATCCGCCATTTCACGTCCTGACCGTGGTCAAGGGAGCCCAGGCGGACACTCACCCGTTACGGCTCTTTTAAAAGGGCGAATTTTATGGCTGTAAACCGGAGTTTGAAAAAATGCACCCACCCGCCCCCCCCCCCAAATAGACACCACTTCCTCTACTTTTAATTCAAGAAGTGTTTCCTGTGCTCTCGGAAGGCTTTGCCGTGGACTGGACTGGGCAGGACTTTCCCTCCTCCTCCAGGGAATGAGGTTCCTGCTAAACCCAAGTGGGCTTCCACGGGACACTCGGAAGATCAGCTGGTCTGCACACAGGGATCAATAACTGGGTGATTATTTTTTTGAGTAAATGGCTCATGTGTGTTAAGTGCCCATGGGAGGCTAAGGACACGCGTCGGGGTGGCCTACTGCACAAGCCAGGCTGGCAACATAGTGAACTGCACTCCAGGGCCAGAGTCCCCGGCAGGAGAAGCCTGCCTCGTCTGGAGCCCCTGGGTGTCATGACGGAGGAGGGACAGGGCTCCGCAACCTGCCCGTCCACGGGCTGGCTCCCCAGGTCAGAAAGCAGGGTCAGAGGTCAGAGGTCAAGGACTCAGGGTCAGGACAGCGGGTTCTCATTTCTGCCTCCAGGATCAGACCCAGATCAGGGCCAAGGAGCGGGAGGTGAGGAGGGACCGGCCTGGGAGATCCCCCTGCCTCGCGCTACCCACTGGGCAGCGGCTGCCTTGATTCACAGTCCTACGGCCTTCAAAGTCGTCCTCCGAGTCTCACAGCACAAGCGCACTTAAAAGTCACTGGGTGGGACAGTCTCGTAAGAGTGTCCCGTCAGGAGAACAGGGCCGATGGTCCAGGATGGTCCTGTGGGTCCTGAATCGCAGGACTGACCACTCTGGACCGTCCAGCACCAACACGCTCTGAGCTTCCCCGGAAGCAGTGTCCCCAACCCGGTCTCCAGCGTCACAGGGTCTGGCAGCGTTGAGCACGGCCGCGCAGTGACCTCGCTGTGCCCTCCCTTCACGACGTCCCCCTCTCCCCGTCACCCTCTACCTGGCCACGCTTGTCCCTTTTGTCCCCTGCTGGACACTGGTGGGCGCCCGAGCTGGTGACACTCTAGGATGCCTCCACCCCGCCGGAAACTGCTCACCCCACACGAGACCTCAGAAACCGTGCCCGGTGACGGCCGGGCAGGGCGACGTGACAGCGAGTCTGAGCAGAAGCAGCACTTACTGGACCACAGCCTGGCCCCGGGTCAGTCCTCTGAACTTCAGATAGTGCTCGATGGCCCGGTCCTCACTGCAAAACAGGAAGGAAGCGGCTCGACACGCGGCCTCGTGGGCCCGCCCCCCACCCCCAGGTGCACGGCCGCTGGACGCTGGCGGGAAGGCCCTGGCCAGAGGACACGGATCCCTGACCGTCAGGCTGACGAGCACCGTGGCGACCTCGGCCATTGAACATGCGCACACGGCATGAAAGGTGGTTCTTAAAACGCCTCTGCTGGGGAAGGACACAGCCCTGTTCCCCCAGTGGGAAGTCAGGGTGATGGTGCACAGGGAGGCCCCGGGGCAGGATCCCGGGGCAGGTGGAGCATCCTGCCCGAGACTCGGAGCCCAAGGCCTCCCTGACTCTTCTTGGTTTAAAACGGGAGACCAGCAAGCCCTGGGTGTCAGAGACTCTTCAACAGGAACACGAGTCCGCGTGCAGTCTAGCCACCAGCCACTCACAGCCAGCGCCGTGCACCCGCTACGGCAGGATAAAGGCCCGCACGGCCCTCCTGGCCAGCAGCTGGACTGCCCAGGAGGCTGCAGCAGCACCAGCCACCACGCCCCTCCTCCAGCCACATCGCCAGCACCACCTGGAAGACTCTCTCCACCCCTGGATGACCAACAATCAGCCTTTAGTTATTGATTTTTTTTTAAAGAAGATATCATGTGACGATGATTTGTTCAGAAGGTTCCAGAGTCAAGATGCAGTGCAGCCTTAATCTCGATATAAATTTGAGAAATATTCCAACTTTCAAATCGAGGCTATAGAGGTTGAATATTTCATTCTATTTTATTTGGCACTTGGCCACTGAGCCCCGTCCCCAGCCCTGTTCTGTATTTTATTTAGAGACAGGGCCTGGCTGTTGCTGAGGCTGGCTTGGAACTCGTGATCCTCCTGCCTCAGCCTCCAGAGCTGCTCGGATGACAGGTGTGCAGCTCGGCACCGCGTGAGGTTGGAGATTTTATCATCTTTGCTTTCTCATGATTTAGAGGAAAGTAAATCTGTCTTTGGCATTTCTAGGCCAGAAGCCGTGGACACTCTGTTTAATGGCCTCTGTGGTTTGGAAGAGAAAAATAATTTTCCAGGAAAACCGCGGGATGGAAAATGAGTACTCGGGATTCATTTAAAATACAAAGGAACCACCAGGATGGCTAAAACCGTCTGATGCTGTCCAGCTGGAGAGAAGACCACTGGCCGTCAGGGAGGCCGCCGGGCAGGGCCACCCGGGTTCTGGAATCCCTGACTCGGACACTGCGCCCTGCCAGGCGGAGGCTGGGCCACGCGGAGGCCACACATGCAGGGTGTGCGCTCCCCTGCACGTGCTCAGCACCCCACTCCCCTTGAGCACAGACACACAGGCCCCCTGTACCCGCGGCTGCCCCCACGTCTTGGCACAGTGACCTCAGGGTCCTGGGCCAGGGCTCCTCCCCTCCAGGACCCGGCTCTGCCCACGGTGTGGCGCGTTGGACAGTTTGCTCCTTCTGTGCACCGCCTAGCTTAAGAGAGTTAGCATCCCTGGGGCCTGGTACCAAGCCCGGGTGCTGGTGAGCACAGGGTGCTGGCGGGGTGGGTAGCGGGCGGGGCGTCCGCTGCTCTGGCTCACCAGTAAGCGAGAGACGGGTGCTCCTGCAGAGTCCGCGTGGGAAAGGCCGCCAGGGCCTTCAGGTCCTTCCGGGCACTTTCGTCACTAGAAAGAAACACAGTGTGGTGACGTCAGACACTGTTACCTAAGAGGTCATCCATGTGATCGCCCGAGGAATGAGGCCCGGGAAGTGACCACTAGGCACACGTTGGGTCTGTGGGGACGTCCAGAGCCACACACACGGGGTTCCAGGCTCAAGCAGAATCAGCCTTGGACCTGACACCACGTCACAGGACGTCACATTGAGGCTCATGTGCGTCGACGTCATTGTGTGAGACGATGGGAGTTGTGCGGTCCGTGCTGTACGGTACACAGCGCTCTCCACACGCCCTTGCACACCTCCCCCTGTCCCTCAGCCTCCTCCTACTCCTCTTCAGGGCTGCGTCATATTCACCGCACGGGAACACCCGTGACAGAACCGCTTTCCACCCTCGACGTTGCCAGGAGACGGTTTACGCAGACCTTTCCGATACACCTCTGTTGGCTCCCTACCACCCTCGAGCTACAACGGACGGCTCAGCCATCTCTGGAAATCTCTGGGAGGGAAACCCACGGTGTTCCTCGAGTGGCATCAAGTGAACTACAAATGTCCCCCGTGCCAGGTGCTGCATTCACAGGAGGGAGGACGTGAGCGTCTAGACAGGGATGGTCTCTGTGGAGGCTGGCCAAGAGAGCGACTCTGGACGGAGAGGAGACCCTCCGACAGGCCGAGCATCTCGGGGGCGTCCACAAGGGAGCAGGCGACTCTCCAAGGAGAGAGTGGGTGAGCGGGTCCAGGGCCGGGCGCCAACCGGGACACCCTCATTGTCCTGAGGAGGGCGGGTGGAGCACTTTCCCAGGCAGAGGGCACTGCTGGCCCCGTGCCTTCCTGGGACCACACCCAGCGTCCCCCTGGGTCTCACTGTGCAGGACCAGGAGCGGCCGGTCCAGTTGGCTCCAGCGGCATGCTGCAGCTGGACCCCCAGACAGACAGACCCTGGACGGACGGTGGACATCCGACTCTGGGAAGGCGCAGCCCTCACCACCTACACCCCCAGGACAGACGCACTGCATCACCGTGAGGGGGTTTTACCCCCGCTCCCCGGGTGCCCAACGGGGTGAACCCCACATGGAGGACCAAACCCTGAACCCGGGCAAAGGAGCTTCCAGCACCTGCGTCCGCACAGCCCCCAGACCCACGGCGGCCTGGGATCAAACACTCAGGTGGGCTCTGTCCGGCCGGCAGGCTGCCAGGCTGGGCACCGGCAGCCCCGCTGGGGCGCGATGGGCTGGGTCACCTGCTCCTCCAGAGCCTCAGGAGGGCTCCGCAGGCAGCAGAGTGGACCCTCTGGGCAGACCCCTTCGCTGCCCGCCTCCCGTGAGGACAGAGCAGAGCGCCCGCCACCTCGCTGCGAGACACTGCGCTCTACACCCGTCAACGCTGAGCCTCAAATCCAGGGTCCCGGCCCTTCCTGGAGGCCAAGTCGGCTTTCTGAGTTACCACAGGAAGCGGAGAGCCGCTGGCCCCGCTCTTACATAAGAGTAAGTCTCCTGTCCTTTTGAAACCTGAGCAGCTCGGCTTCGTCACACTGACAACCTTGGGAAACTGGTTTGGGCTTCCGGAAAGTCAGAATACACCACAATCCAATTGATTCATATTAAAGGTCAGCTGTCGGCTCCCAGGATTAATATTTATTTTTCTTAATAATAATATCTTTTGTGTTCTGAGCTTGAAGACCATTCTCTCTCTCCTCTCTCTCTCTCTCTCTCTCTCTCTGTTTTGAAGTGCTAGAGATTGAACCCAGGGCCCTGTGCATGCTGGACAGAGCCACATCCTCAGTCCCACTTGGCACTGGGCATGGTGGCATTGCCCACTGTAATCCTAGCTACTCAGGAGGCGGAGGCAGGGGGATTGCAAGTCGGAGGCCAGCCTGTGCAATTTAGTGAGATTCTGTCCAAAATAAAAATTAAAAAAAAAAAAAAATGGGGAGGATCGGGCAGATACGGCTCAGTGTTAGAACACCCCTGGGTTCAATCCTTCGTATCCCAAGAAAAGAGAAGACAGTAATGATCTAACCACGGTGCAATCCTACAGTGGACTAGCATGCAGCAAAGAAAAAGACCGCGGCCACACACAACCTGGGTCAATCTCACACACACCCAAAGACCCTAGAGACCCTGCGTAGGAAATGTATGACTTCATGGACATGGAGGGCCAAGTGGAATAGAGACTATCTTACTCGGGTGTCCACAAAGCAGGAGAAGACAATGGGTGCTGTAGCCAGAGCCCCTCTGGGGGGGGAGCTTTGTTGGCCTGGGTGGGGGTGCTGGGGGGAGGTGCTCAGCAGGCTGTGAGTCCCCACAAGGTCGCGCCTCGGGCATGGGGCTGTGCCCTCTCACCCCTGTGTGTTTTGTGCATTCCTGTGTGTGATAACGCACAACAAATCCAAATCAAACACAGCCCATGGGGGGACGTGGGGGCCCAAGAGTGGCCGATGGCCCTCAGAGCAGGACGGTGCCGCTATCCGGGGGAGAGAACTTACTGCCCGAGACGGGAACCAGGGGTGCTGGGATGGCTGGGCCTGGTGCGAGGGAGGGTCGACTGACCTTTGGAATTTAGGACCCACCGGGATTTCACGTCTGAGTGGACAGAGCTGAGGGCTTATTTGTCCACCCTCCTGGGAGCCTGCCTGGGAGTCTGAGCCCTGCGTCCCCGCCTGCGGGGGCAGCTGGGTCTGGCTGCAGCAGCAGCAGGAGGCCCCTCCCGGGCTGGCTGGCCGGGCAGCGTGGCTCCTATAAATCAGGGTCACCCCCAAGCAGCTGGGGAGGCGCGTCGGCCCCGCCGGGACGTCTCTGCCTTGCACGGGCAGTAAACCCGCGGCCGGCTGGACGTTCCTGACCTTAACGGCAACGCTCATGTTGTTTTAAAGACGCGCTTGACCACAAGGGTCTTGAGGGACTGGTCTCTCGGGGTCCTCGCTGGAGAGAGTGCCCATAAATCGACACCACCTGCCACTCCTCAGGGGCCAAAGCAGCCCCCGCTTTCTCTGTCATCGCAGCGGGAACCCGAGGCCCCCGGAGAGACCTGATCCCCCAGGCTGGCCATCCCGAGGCACGCCGGACCCCTGCTTCCAAGGCCTTCCAGAAGGACGCCACCCGGACCCTCTGCTGGCACGGCCAGCGACTGTTCTCAGGGGGTGGATCCTGTGGGCCTTCCGAGCCCACCCTCCCACGGGCTGTTGTTTTTCTTGACTGACCTCAAAAGCCCTGCTGGAATGTACCCACCCCACTCATGGCTGGAGAAACCAAGGCCACCCTAGTGTGTGGGGCACGTGTGGAAAGAGCCGCCCGCAGCACATGTGTGCGCCTGCTGGGCTCCCCCACAGCAGCCGCCGGCCACCTGCCACCAGGGCGGAGGGCCATTAGCAAGCCGAGCCTGCTGAGGCTTCCCAGGGAGAGCAGAGGCTGTGTCCACGCCTGGGCTGGGGCATCTCTCCGTTTCTAGGACCGTGGACGGAAAACGCAGCACAACAGAAGCCCAGGCCCCGCACTCCACCTCCCTCACCAACGCCCTCGCTCTTCCTCCCTGAAGCCCCAGCAAAGGTGCACAAGGAGCCATGTCCACTCCACTGACCGCGTGGAGACCTCTGCAGGAACCTCTCCCCACAGAGACATCAGCCACACCCCCAAACCTGCCCCTGGGCAGGTCAGCCCTCAGAGACTCGCAGACCACAGAGTTACTCTTCTTAGAGAGCAGAGCTGACCCCACACGGCCAGCGTCCCCCCCGCCCTGAGCAGGCTGCAGGAGGCTGCTCCACCTCCAAGGACCGTGCTGACCTGCCCAGGGTTTCCACCACCATGAAGGAGTGGACAGGGCCGAGGACCCCGAGAGCCAGGGAAGCATATTTACTGTCCCGTGAACAGGGGCGAGAAGTGCCACCTTCTAAGCTGAGTGGGACCCTGTATTTAAGGGTGACAACTGGGCTAAACGTGCAATTATTAAAAGGATCTCGGTTACTACTAGAAGCACGAGTGTCACTGACCAAAGCCGTGCAGTCTCTGACCGCCGATGGTTCACCTTTTGTTGGCTCAACTTGCATTTTTTAAAAGTCTTTGGCACCGGGGGTCTCACCCAGGGGTTGCTGTGCCACTGAGCTATATCCCCAGCCCTTTTTATGTTTTATTTGGAGAAAGTCTCGCAGAGGCTGGCACTGACCTTGAGATCCTCCTGCCTCAGCCTCCCCTGAGGTTACAGGTGTGGGCCACGGCACCTGGCGACTTAACAGTTTTTCAGGGTGATGTGGCGTAAAAGCGAGACCCATTCAGCAGAAACCCCACTGTGGGTTGTGCTCTTTTCTGGGGCTGGGGGTGGGGCTGGGGACATGTCACCTGAGCCCCTGGCAGTGGGCCAGCTGCTGAGCGGCAGGTTGGGCAGGAGAGCTGGATTCACGCCCTCTGACTTACGCTATGAACCGACAAGGGTTCATCAGGACGCGCCCACCCTCCGCCAGCTAGCACCGGGGAGAACGCACCAGAACCCCCAGACCCACGGAGTCAGGTGCCGAGGGGGGGGCCCAGCAGCGTGTTCTAACAAAGGTGTGGGAGCCACCGCCATCGGGGTGCACGTGACACAAACAGAATTCCAAGACGGAGCCGGGAAGCCACCATCAAAGATGGAGAGTCGTCAGGGAGGCTAAGCCCGGCTCTTTGGGTGGGTGGGGAGCCAGAAGTGGGTTTAGGACACTCTGGGTGACCTGAGGCTGTCACCCACCCCCAGGAGGTCTCTGTGGGTTTCGAGGTGGCAGAGACTGGCCACACCTCTCTGCACAGGGCCTTGGGCTTCTCCAGGTCCGCATTCCTCTTCCTGGGATGTGACTACGGCTTCCAGAGACGAAGTCACTTAGACTCCGCAGTGAGGAAGAGGCAGCCGTGACTCTGAACCCTGCTGTGACCACAGGGCCACCCCCTCCTGGGTCCCCCAAGACGAGGCAGAGCAGGACCCTCGGCTTCACTGGAGGACTCCGAGGGTCCTGTTGTGCCGGCCTCTGACTAACTCCAGGAGAATG